TCCTCAGAACAGCCATAGCACCCGCCTCCTAAGAACAGCTGCGTAATCCACATCTTGGAACAGCCACGGGAAAACGTCTGCCTTAGGGGGCTCAGCTAGCAACTGTTTACTACAGAAAATTGATTTTACCGGTTTTAGGAGCTGTTTTACCGGCTTTTTGCCTGAAGTCCGCTCGTTTTTTCGGTAAATGTTCGTTTTGTGAAAAAAATGACAAATGCAAATTTTTTGAAATGCAAATTTCCAGTTCACTAAAAAGTAGAAGAATTGCTCGAGCGGTCGTTTCCAAAAAATCTGCGTTCATTTACATATACGGTTGCGGTTAAGGTCCGAGCTGCGAACGACTTTTTGAAAATACGCAAATTTTTAGCTCATTGAAAAATTGAAAGCATTGCTCGAACGGTCGTTTTTCAAAAAATCCATGTTCATTAGCAATTATAATTGCGGCTCACGATTTTTGGGTTCAGGAGCTACTTGAGGCTGTGGTTGGGGAGCTAGAGAGCTGACTTTAAAACTTTTACCTCGCACGTGCATAGAGGATACCCCTGCAAAGTTTCAGCTTTCTACGTTGCCTGGTTCGCGAGATCGTTTCCCGCCAACAAATTTCTTTGGGGGTCTCGTGCGCGTGGTCTAGGCGCGTATGGGAAAAGATCTTAAAACGGGAGGATGACACACGGGGTAAGAACATATATCCAAAGTTTCAGCCTCTCAGCTTTCCTGGTTGCCGAGTTGAAAGTGGGTGACAAAATGCACTCGCTTTCCGAACACACACACAAACAGACAGCCTCTCGACGATATGCGTTTTTGCTGGCTGTAGCAGCGCTACAGCGCTGCACAGCAAAAACGCATAAAAACACTCAACCCAGGCTGGAACGCACCAGACGAGCCGGTGCGATCATGCGTTTTTGCACAAGACTTGAATTGGGTTAACTGCATAAGCGGTTGTTTCTTCACACCTACCTTGTGTACTTAATGCCGAAAATCATCGTAAATTTTGCATAAAAAGAAATAAACTATTTCCGTGTAGTGGTGTTTTTTGAAATAACCCAACTGTTCAATAAGTAATTTTCCTGCCAGGAATTCAATTGCCTGTGCACGAATATCACGCGCAAATGAAGACTGAATTTGATGACTTAAGTTTTATTTGGACGGGGAGTATTCTCCTAAAATCAGAGCCTCCCAATTTTTTTGGTTCTCGAGTTAGGAATTTTTCCGCCAAAATTTTCACAGGGCCGCACGTGACCTAAGAGCATACTTGGGGACTGGGTTTGGAATTTTTAAGTCGTATGCAGGCTGAGAACATCCCTTTGAAATTTCAACCTCCCAGCTTTTCTGGTTCCCGAATTAGTCATTTACCCGCCAGAAAACTTTCACGGGGTCGTATATGAGAACAACGTATGACTGGGGATTGAATTTGATAGGTTTATGTCGTACTTGTGCCTGGAACATTCCCTGAAAATTTCAGGTTCTTAGCTTTCTTGGTTCCTGAGTTAGCCATTTTCCCCCTAAAACTTTCTTACGCTCTTAAGTGGGCACCACGCATACCTGGAGGCTGAATTTGAAACCTCTAGCCAGTACATGCACAGAGAATATCTCTACAAATTTTCAGCCCCCTAGCTCGTGTGGTTCCC